GTTTTAAAAAACTGCCTTAAGAAAAAACTAATCTAAGAATGTATACACACATACTTACTTACAAACGTGTATATATTAGTTACGCATTCACTGAACAAATGAGCACCTACGAAAATATAAAACACACTAGCATGGGGGTCATGTGGTATTTTGCCTATATCGCTCACTTCTGCACACACAGCCCCCAAATGCTTCCTGGCATACAGGGTGAACTCAGAGATATATTTTGGATACGCACTTCAGCTCAGGATCCTTCTCTCAATTCTTTTCCCAGAAGTCCACACATCTCCCACAATTTCCACTATCGTCTTCTATAGGAGACCACACTCGCCATCATAACTCTACTCTGAAAACTACTGTTTTTCCAACTTATACCACAATGTCGTCAACTCTATGTTTCTAACTCTACACTCATCATCTCCCTTCTGCTTTCTCAAAAAAGAAAAAAAAAAAAGCCTCTTTTTCTGCCTATTTTCTCTAAAGCTATAATTTCCCATTTATGGTGCTTACAAAATGGGCATCTTATCTGAATTCACTGCCTCTCTTAAGCCCTTATGAGTAGCCTATCAATTTTTCTGTAAATTTCTCCTCTGTGGTATCTCCCATATCAGTTTTTCCGCTCCTTTCATCCCCATCAAGGCTACTCCCATATTTCTGGCCTATAGACCTTGGACCTCAAGTTCTGCAGTAGTGTCTGAAATCTACCATCAGAGCTTCTCCTCTCAATACATTTTTCAGAATTCCCCTGAGGGGGACTTTCAGAAATCATCTTCATGATCTATTCTGTATGGCTACTAAGTAATCTTAAGAAACAGTGATTTCCATTGCTTAGAGTACACAGTTTAAATTTCTAAGCATAATGTTACTGAGGCCTGTCACAATAGACCCTATCTCTCAAAATTAAATATTCAGATTCCATGAATCTCGATTAAAGGAAAGGTCAGTGAATGTCCTCTAATCCAACTGTCCCTCTGATTCTAAAAATTATATTTTAGTCAAGTTCACTGAATGACATTCTTTCTACAATATTTCTCCTTTTCTTACAGATATTCTCTTAATACATTTCCCTCCTCTATAGCTATTTAAATTAAACTATTTCCTTTTCTTATCCCCTCCTTTCTATCTCATGCCTGGATTTAACACTTTCTCTTTCTTCTGAACTTTTAGCTAAGTTTTTATCTGTACAAAACTTTTGAAATTACTCATACATTGCATTGTCAATGTCCATTGATGTCTGATTTAAATTGCTCCCAAGATATGCATGTTTTCTCTCCCCAGATAAGCATTTTCTGTGTATATAAATAAATAGTCAATCTTCATTATTCACAAACTCCATATTTACAAATTTGCTTACTTGCTAAAATTTGCAAATCAATAACTGCAACACTTCTATGATCATTCACGGACAGGCACAGAGCAGCAATTTGAGTTGCCCATGAGGACATTCTCAGCTGAGGTCAAATAAATAAGGTGACATTCTCCCCTCTTGACTCAGCTCCCTTACTGTCAATGTCTCCTTTTTACAGGCTCTTTAGAGCCACATCTTCTGCATTTTTGTGCTCCCTGTTGGAGATTCTGCTGCTTAAAATGCCCCCTCAAGTGTAGTCTTCAGGTATTCTTGTGTTCCTAAGTGTAAGGCGGCTGTGGTGTGTCTTGTAGAAAACTATGAGTTAGATAAACTTCATTTAGGCATGAATTACAGTGCTGGGAACGCATGAGCTCAATGTTAATGAGTCTACAATACGTATTAATTCACAAATAAGGTGGCTTTAAATTGAAATACACATAAAACAAGATTATATTCTGATGAGTTGATAAAAATGTTGTGACCCAAAGCTCACAGGAACTATGTCTGTATTTCCCCTAGGAGCAATGGTTCAATATTCACTAATTCAGTGTATGTGGTGACTACTGCAAATAAGGAGGTTGACTGCCTGTGTGTATGTGTGAGTGTGTGTCTGTCTGTCTGTGTGTATATTCTATGTATATGTATATATGTGTGTATACATTAATATGTGCATATATGTGTGTGTATAAATATGCTATATTTATGTATATAATCAGGGGGATGGAAGAGGGGGTCTCCCTGCAGTTCACCTGCTTGCTGTGCCCGAGCTCGGAGAGCTATCATCAAACCGTGCTGCAATTCATGGTTTATGGCAACACCAAGGTGAGAGCCCACTCCTAGGCTAACTGATTGCAGCCGGCTCCCTCGCTCCAGTGCCTGGGAACTCTGATGCAGTCAGGCACCCCTATCTTCCTGTGGCCCCAAGAATCCTGAAACCAGTGTCCCACCTAGCATTCCACCCGACTTTGCCACCTGACTCATGAACAATTACTCAGCAAATTCAAATCAAAACCACAATGAGATATCCCCTTACACCAGAATGGCTAAAATTAACAAGTCAGGAAACAACAGGTGTTGGTGAAGATTCAGAGAAAGGGGAACCCTCATACACTGTTGGTGGGAAGGCAAGCTGGGGCAGCCACTCTGGAAAACAGCATGGAGGTTCCTCAAAACATTGAAAATTGAGCTACCCTAAGACGCAGCAATTACACTACTAGGTATTTACCCCCAAGATGCAAATGTAGTGATCCAAAGAGGAATCTATACCACAATGTTTATAGCAGCAATGTCTACACTATCTAAACCATGGAAAGAGCCCAGAAGTCCATCAACAGATGAATGGATAAAGAAGATGTGGTGTATATATACAATGGAATACTATGCAGTCATCAAAACAAATGAAATCTTGCCATTTGTAACTACGTGGATGGAACTAGAGGGTATTATGCTGAGCGAAATAAGTCAATCAGAGAAAGACAATTGTCATATGATCTCACTGATATGTGGAATTTAAGAAACAAAAGCAGAGGATCATAGGGGAAGGGAAGAAAAAATAAGTCAAGATGAAATCAGAGAGGGAGACAAGTCATAAGAGACTCTTAACCATAAAAATAAAGTGAAGGTTGTTGGAGGGAACGGGTGTAAGGGGATGGGGTAACTGGGTGAAGGGCATTAAGGAGGACAGGTGATGAGCACTGGGTATTATGTAAGACTGATGAGGGGTGCCTTGGTGGCTCAGTCATTAAGCGGCTGCTTTCGGCTCAGGTCATGATCCCAGCGTCCTGGGATCGAGCCCTGCATCGGGCTCTCCGTTCAGTGGGAAGCCTGCTTCTCCCTCTCCCACTCCCCTGCTTGTGTTTTCTCACTTGCTGTGTCTCTCTGTCAAATAAATAAATAAAATCTTTAAAAAAAAAAAAGAAGAAGACTAATAGATCACTGACTTCTACTTCTGAAACTAATAATACACTATATGATAATTAATTGAATTTAAATAAAAAATAAATTTTCATCCAGTAGTGAATATAAAAACACATATGCTCTCACTTAAAGAGATGAAGAAAGAAAAGAGGAGGAGATAGGAGTGAGAGTGGGAACAGTGGGTAAGAAAAGGGAGAGACAGGAGAAAAAGTTCATGCTTTCAATGTTCCTGTGCTGCCCAAACTGGGTATCCTCACACCCAGATGTTATTTAATATGGACAAAAATGATAACAATAACATCTACAAGTTACTGTGATTATTAATGATAATAAATGGAATTATGATGCTGACGACAAATTTACTCAACTCTCATACTGCAACATGCTTTGAGTAAGTACAATTTTGTGGATTATTTCCTTAATTCCTAATAATTTTGTGGAGATTCTGCAATTTTATCCTTATTACAGAAAACAAAGAGTTTGGGCAAATTAAGCCCCCATGGCTTCCACAGACAGCAAATCATAGAAAGGAATTTAAATTAGACTCTGACTCCAGCAGCATCTCAACTACTTCCTACCCTAACTGACTGCAATCTGTCTCCCTAATTCTAAACTGTTGGAATTTAGGCATCTGGGAAGGAACACGTATGAAACCACTGGATATGGGGACATCACAGCAGAGCTATCCATCAAAAGCTCTTCTGTAATTTTTTTTTTTTTTTTTAGGTTTGCCACCTTTCAAATAAGATTTTCTTTTTTCTTTTCTTCTTTTCTTTTCTTTCATGAAGGAAGTCAGGAAGGTTACTCATATAGAAGAATGCTTTCTGATACTGGTTCTCTCAGATGTATAAGGACAAAAAGTAGGTCAAATCCCTAAATTTAGCATTTTGGGAAATGATGAAAATTATAAAATTGATTTGGGAAGCTTTTCCTTGCATTACAGAGCAAAGGTTTTAAAGCCAGATGTATGTGACTTCTAATGCAAGTCTCCCCTTTCCTTAGCATTATACAATTGTGGCTAGTTAGGATAAGGTTTTGTATCTGTAAGGAATTATAATTATTTATAGAAGTAGCTTTAATAGAGTATCCTATTGCCTCCATTAGGGCTTATCTTCAGATTGGACTAAATATTCCACATTGCCAAAATCTTTAAGAGTTTTATAATCACAACATTTTTGCAGACTACAATAGAAAACAGAAGAAAAACAAAGGCTACGATTTAAAAAATAAATCTGATAGCATCAAAAGAGATTGAAAGTCTCAATTCTAAAATGATTTTCCCTCAAGTTAGATTGGAGGTGCATAACCGAAGAAAGCTAGAAAATATCTGTCTTCAAAGAAGTTAGAGGCAGTTTTGACAAACCAAATTGAAAAAATAAAATCCAGCAGCCCAGCGAAACTCCTCCTGTCCCCTTCCCACGTCTTTTACTACAAAATCTGTGACTTAAGAATTGTGTGAAAATCACTCCCAAAAGCACAGGGCACATTTGGTTCTCTCAACTAACAACAGAAAGATTTAAGGGCTTATAATGAAAAGATTTTATAGAAGTTTTAGATATTTTACTCTTCATGAATGAGCAGAAGAGAGGGTCTGATACATCCCCAAACAACCTTCGATTTTTATGAGTTCTAATGACTTTGTGAGCTGACCAAATTACTTTTTCTCCAGCTCATGCATCTTAGTAGAACACTTTTCCCTGTCTGTGTAATGTTGATAGAGACCGAGGCCACTTACCCACTATTGATATCATCAGCCCTGAGACTTTTCCCAAGGATATCACCATCACTCATATATCCACCAACGTCGACTTCAGAAGACATGTCCAGGTCACTGCTTGCTTTCTCACTCATGTCAATTTGGGATATGTTTCCCAGTCGAGAGACAGCTGCTCGACGGAGAGGTGTTGTGTACATGAACCTCGAGGGGTCTGTGTGGATGAATCGGCTGGTACTACTGCGAGGGTAGCCAGCCCCCAAGGAGGGAGCGTCTCCAGCCTGAAGTCGAGGACATGCCTGACCCAACCTCCAGGTCATGGGAGTGGGTCGGCTTGTCAGGTTGGGTATGGTCCTTCCATTCACTTCTGTTGTCACAGTGCTGTCAAATGTTGTCTCCAGGGTGCTGGCAAACAAATGAAGAAAGAACTATACTCGGATTCACTTGGGATCATAGATCAAGAATACATGAAGACAGGAAAGGCTAGAGCTGAGTCATTTCTTAGAAGTATGTCATTTTCATGAAAGTCAAATTATACTTTCATGATGAGATGCAAAACACCTCTGCCGATGTCAGCATGCGGGATGGGGCATTCATTAGAAGATTGCTGTTTTGCTTTTTTGCTTTTGAAAGAAAGGTCATTATCACATTTTAGATAAAGCAAAATTGTGTTTCACAGTTTCAACAAACCCTTCACCTAACCCCAATGGCTTCCCAGAACGATTCTGGAAGTTGAGACCAATTATGTTTCAGAGTCTCTCTGTACCCCCCATCCCCACTCCTGCCCCCGATGCATTTCAACTGCAACTTCTGCCCACTGTTCTTTGTCACAGGCATGGAAATCTACTTGGTTGTGATGGTGGTAATTTCAGTAGCTATTTTAGTTTGAAAGGGATACTCTATGGAAGAAGATGGATGGGAGAAAAAAGTCCTAGGGTATGTGCTAAGAAGTAGCCAGCTGAATGTCATGTAAAATTTAAGTGAGAAAATAGTAAGGGGAAATTAAATTTTTTCTTTATTCTTATAAGACGTTAAGTTCTTGATAGTCATTTTTTTTTTTCTTTATTGGCCCAACAATACATAGAATTGAGAAAAAAAACCTGTGGCTTATCTGGGTCCCACGAAGACTGGACATAGTCTCCTCTAAATTTTGCCTCAAATCTGCTATGTTTTTAACTGTTCTCATTCTTCTTGTTTCAGGGTCTTCACCTGGAAAAGTAACATAATAATATATTTGTCAGTCAAGTCATTTACTGATCTCAGAATAACTGCATACATAGATAAGTAATATAAATTCTTCTCCTTAAAAATATAACAATAGGTAGGAAATTCCAAATGGCTACTATCTGAAAATTGTAATTCTTCTTTCTACATTCACATTCAATAAAATGTGAATAGAAACAAATGTATCATTACAAGTAATAACTGATGAGGAGTGATGATAATACAATAATACTTTGTAGATCCATGACCTTAATCATTGCAAAGTGACAGTGATTAATTCAGTAATATACTATTTAGTACTCCATATTACTGAGCTTAATTTAAAAATCTGAAATTATTTAGAACCTAATTAACCTCATAATTACCTATTTCCAGGTCTAGTCAGAAGAGTAAGATAAACTTACCTTGTAGCAATTACACATTTGGGCTCTGGGGAATAAGATAGAGGTCTTTTCTTACAGAGGCAATACCATTATAAGTCTTCTATTAACATTGGGTGGCTATATTTTTAAATAAAAATATGTTGATTTTTCTACACTTTCTACAGGGACTCACAACATACCCCTGTGACACCAGAGTGCCAGTAAAGTCCCTAGCATCTAAACCCAGCATGTGTTTAATAGGCATGAAACCCACAGGTTTCCAATATGACAAATACTGGCCTTGCTCAACCACCACCTCTCTTTTAGATGCAGAGGTGCCATTAAATGAGTTTGATTATAGACATGTAATACTTCCAAGCCAGTGGCCCTCTGAAACTGGTCTATTTGGAGACTGAAAAGAACATGGGGATACAATAGAGGAAGTAGAGAAATTTTAAAAAGAAAGAAAGATGAGGGGTAGGAGTCAAGATGGCAGAGGAGTAGCAGACTGAGATGACGTTAGGTCACAGGAGTTCAGCTAGGTAGTTATCAAAGCATTCCTAACACCGACAACCCAACAGGAGATCGAAAAGAAGAAGAGCAGCAATTCTAGAAACAGAAAATGGACCACTTTCTGAAAGGTAGGATGTGTGGAGAAGTGAATCTGAAGGGATGGGAAGAGAGGCCGTGGAAGGAGGGGCCAGCTCCCGACAAGCGACAGAGCAAGGAAGCACAAAATTCTACCATATTAATTTTTCACAAAATTCCTGGGATTGAGCCCCACATCGGGCTCTCTGCTTGGCAAGGAGTCTGCTTCCACCCCCATGCCCTGCCTGCTGCTCTGCCTACTTGTGATCTCTCTCTGTCAAATAAATAAATAAAATCTTTAAAAAAAAAAAAATAAATAAAGTCTGCTCCACTGAGGGACATCACTCCAGAGGCCAACCAGGGGTGGAGCCCTCGAAGGGACAGTGTGGTCTCAGGTCCTGCGAGGTCACAGAAGGATCGGGGGTGTCTGAGTGTAGCAGAGCTCACAGGTATCAGAGTGGGGAAGCTGGCTACAGAGATGGAGCCGAGGAGTAGACTCTCAGCTCAGAGTTACCTTAAACTGTGATCCATGGCATAGTCAGGCCCCTGCTATTTGAGCAGGGACCCCACAAATGGCAGATCTGGGGAGACCCAACTTCCTACTCTGGATTCAGGAATCTGCTGTGTTTGGAGACTCCAAACGGGGCTGTGTGCCGGAGACTGAAATGTTCGGTCATTGGCCAGGTGAGCTTGGAGCGTGGCTGGAGGCCAGGGAGACAGGAATGACTGACCACTTTCCTAGAAGGGCACGCTGAGGAGTGGGGAACCAAGCTCTCAGCTCCTCTGGGCCAGAGATTGGGAGGCCGCCATTTTCATTTCCATCCTCCAGAGCTCTACGGAAAACATTCAGGGAACAAAAGCTCCCGAGAACAAACCCGAGCAGATTACTTAGGCCGGCCCCTGGCAAGGGGGGCAGAGTTGGACCTCGGACAGACATCTGAGAATCACTAAAAGAGGCCCCTCCCCCAGAAGATCAGCAAGAACATCCAGCCAAGACCAAGCTCACTGATCAAGGAGAATAGCAGAATTCCAGAGGAAGAGAAAGCAAAGAATGGAATTCATGGCTTTCTCCCCATTATTCTTTAGTCTTGCAAAGTTAATTAATTCTCTTATTTTTTTCTTATTCTCATTTTTTTAAGTTTTCCTATTTCCTATTTTAACTTTTATTAATGAGTTTATCTTAACAATATCTTTCTAAAAAAACCCAAACTTTAAAAATCTTCATTATTATAGTCATATTTTATCTTTCATTGGATCTAACTTTATTTTTTGTATACATATAGGGTTTTATCTTCTAAAATTTTTGGCATAATATTTCTTCTAATACGTCAAAATATACCATAAATATAGCACAGGGCATTGTTCTAGTCTCCAGCCTGAGCACATTCTCTCCACTTTCTTTTCCCAACCAAATTATCAATTCCTGTTTTAGAATTTTTTTTTTAATTGTCATCATTACAGTCATATTCAATCCCTTCATCATTGTACCCTTATTTTTGTATATATACAAGTTTTTCTTTCTTTAAAATTTTGGGAGGTACTTTCTTCTAAGGGACAAAAATACACCCAAAATCAAGTGGATGGCTCTGTTCTATTCACCAGTCTAATATATATATATGCATATATATATATATATATATGCATATATATATATATGTAAAAATTGATTTTTCTTTAATTTTTTTAAACTTCTTTTTACCCCCTCACTTCTCCCCCCAATTTTGGTTCTCTTCTGATTTGGTTGGTGTACATTTTCCTGGTGGCTTTAACACCCTTTTACTACTTTATTCTCTCATTCATATATTCTTATCTGGATAAAATGACAGGGTGGAAAAATCACCACACACAAAAAAGAACAAGAGGCAGTATTGAAGGCTATGGACCTAATCAATAGAGACATTGGCAAAATGTCAGATCCAGAGTCCAGAATGACGATTCTCAAGGTGTTAGCTAGGCTCGAAAAAGGCATGGAAGATATCAAAGGAAATCTGTCTGGAGAAATAAAAGCCCTTTCTGGAGAAATAGAAGAACTAAAATCTAACCAGGTTGAAATCAAAAAGCTATTAATGAGGTGCAATAAAAAATGGAGGCTCTTACTGCTACGATAAACGAGGCAGAAGAGAGAATTAGTGATATAGAAGACCAAATGACAGAGAATAAAGAAGCTAAGCAAAAGAGACAAACAACCACTGGACCATGAGGGGAGAATTTGCGAGATAAGTGATATCATAAGATGAAACAATATTAGAATTATTGGGATTCCAGAAGAAGAAGAAAGAGAGAGGGGGGCAGAAGGTATATTGGAGTGAATTATAGTAGAGAATGTCCCTAACATGGCCAAGGTAACAAACATCAAAACCCAGGAGGCACACACAACCCCCCTCAAAATCAATAAAAATAGGTCCATACCCCGTCATCTAACAGTGAAACTAACAAGTATTAGTGACAAAGAGAAAATTCTGAAAGCAGCCTGGGACAATAGTCTGTAACATACAATAGTTAAAATATGACATTGGCAGCACACTTATCCACAGAGACCTGGCAGGCCAGAAATAACTGGCATGATATATTCAGAGCACTAAATGAGAAAAACATGCAGTCAAGAATACTATATCCAGCTAGGCTATCATTGAAAATAGAAAGAGAGATAAAAAGATTCCAGGACAAACAAAAACTTAAAGATTTGTATACACCAAACCAGCCCTACAGGAAATATTGAAAGGCGTCCTCTAAGCAAAGAGAGAGCCTGAAAGTAGTAGAATAGAAAGGAACAGAGACAATATACAATAACAGTCACCTTACAGGCAATACAATGGCACTAAATTCATATCTCTCACTAGTTACCCTGAATGTAAATGGACTAAATGCCCCATTCAAAAGACATAGGCTATCAAAATGGATTTAAAAAAAAAAAAAGCCATCAATATGCTGTCTACAAGAAACTCATTTTAGACCCAAAGACACCTCCAGATTGAAAGTGAGGGGGTGGAAAACCATTTACCATGCTAATGGACATCAAAAGAAAGTTGGGCTGGCAATCCTTATATCAGATAAATTAGATTTTAAGCCAAAGACTATACTAAGAGATGAGGAAGGACACTATATCGAACCCAAAGGGTCTGTCCAACAAGGAAATCTAACAATTTTAAATATCTATGCCCCTAACATAAGAGCAGTGAACTATATAAACCAATTAATAACAAAATCAAAGGAACACATCGACAATAATACAATAATAGTACAGAACGTTAACATCCCCCTCACTGAAATGGACAGATCATCCAAGCAAAAGATCAACAAGGAAATCAAGGCCTTAAACGACACACTGGACCAGATGGACATCACAGATATATTCAGAACATTCTATCCCAAAGCAACAGAATATACACTCTTCTCTACTGCACATGGAACATTCTCCAGAATAGATCCCATCCTGGATCACAAATCAGGTCTCAACTGGTACCAAAAGATTGGGTTCATCCCCTGCATGTATTAAGACCACAATGCTCTGAAGCTAGAACTCAATCACAAGAGGAAAGTTGGAAAGAACTCAAATACATGGAGGCTAAAGAGCATCCTATTTAAGAATGAATGAGTCAACCAGGAAATTAAGGAAGAATTGAAACAATTCATGGGAACAAATGATAATGAAAACACAACTGATCAAAATCTGTGGGACACAGTAAGGGCAGTCCTGAGACAGAAATATATAGTGACACAAGCCTTTCTCAAGAAACAAGATCTCAAGTACACAACCTAACCCTACACCTAAAGGAGCTGCAGAAAGAACAGCAAAGAAAGCCTAAACCCAGCAGGAGAAGAGAAATCATAAAGATCAGAGCAGAAATCAAAGGAATAGGAACCAAAAAAAAACAGAACAGATCAATGAAACTAGGAGCTGTTTCTTTGAAAGAATTAATAAGATTGATAAGCCCCTAGCCAGACTAATCACAAGAAAAGAGAAAGGATCCAAATAAATAAAATCATGAATAAAAGAGGAGAGATTACAACCAACACCAAAGAAATACATACAAT